ATGTCCTCCCTTTAGTTTGGGCACCATGTGCCCATTGCGCACACACGTGAAGCGCTGTGCTTTGTGAATGGCTCAGCATCTTCTGGGATCTGTCATGTGTCCCAGAAGACGCTGGGCCATTCACAAACCGCAGTGGGCACCCGGCTGTCAGCCAGGTGCCCACACTAAAGATGCCAGTGTGGGAAGACTGTACAGCGCTGGACCGAGGAACAGGAAAGGTCCTGCTGCAGAGAAGAGCTAAGCGGCCGGCCTGGTATTCTGACACGGTGATGGCGGAAATACCGGACTGGCCGCTCAATATTCGCTCCATAAAAAAGTACGTCTTATGGAGGGGGAAAATACGTTATTTATTTTAACATGCTGTCAGTGTCCTTGATCACCACCACACCAGTTAATGATGATGCTGTACTGCACTGGTGATAGTATGTAAAAAAAAAAAAAAAAAAGTGAAAAATAAAATGAATTTCTTCATCTTATACAAAAATGTGACAAAAAAATTACAGCTTCAAAAAAACTTGCCATGCCTATTACTAAATGCCTCAGCCTGTCTACTTTCCAAAAAGGGGGTCATTTGGGGGTTCTTGTTCTGTCGTGGCATTTTAGAGCCACAAATAGGGAGATAGGCTGTCAGTACATCAGGATTGATTAGTTTTCAAATATATCTATAACATACAGTTAAGTCCATATACAGTATCTCAGAGAAATGAGTACACCCCTCACATTTTTGTAAATATTTTATATCTTTTCATGTGACAACTCTGAAGAAATGACACTTTGCTACAATGTAAAGTAGTGAGTGTACAGCTTGTATAACAGTGTAAATTTGCTGCCCCCTCAAAATAACTCAACACACAGCCATTAATGTCTAAACTGCTGAAAACAAAAGAGAGTACACCCCTAAGTGAAAATGTCCAAATTGGGTCCAAAGTGTCGATATTTTGTGTGGCCACCATTATTTTCCAGCACTGCCTTAACCCTCTTGGGCATGGAGTTCACCAGAGCTTCACAAGTTAATTGACGTCCTCTTCCACTCCTCCATGACAACATCACGGAGCTGGTGGATGTTAGAGACGTTGCGCTCCTCCACCTTCCATTTCAGCATGCCACACAGATGCTCAATAGGGTTTAGGTCTGGAGACATGCTTGGCCAGTCCATCACCTTTACCCTCAGCTTCTTTAGCAAGGCAGTGGTCGTCTTGGAGGTGTTTGGGGTCGTTATGTTGGAATACTGCCCTGCAGTCCAATCTCTGAAAGGAGGGGGTCATGCTTTGCTTCAGTATGTCACAGTATATGTTGGCATTCATGGTTCCCTCAATGAACTGTAGCTCCCCAGTGTCGGTAGCACTCATGCAGCCCCAGACCATGACACTCCCACCACCATGCTTCACTGTAGGCAAAACACACTTTGTACTCCTCACCTGGTTTCCGCCACACACGCTTGACACCATCTGAACCAAATAAGTTTATCTTGGTCTCATCAGACCACGGAACATGGTTCCAGGAATCCATGTCCTTAGTCTGCTTGTCTTCAGCAAACTGTGGGCTTTCTTGTGCATCATCTTTAGAAGAAGCTTCCTCCTGGGACGACAGCCATGCAGACCAATGTGATGCAGTGTGCAGCCTATGGTCTGAGCACTGACAGGCTCCCCCCCAACCTTCTCCTTCCTCTCTGCAGCAATGCTGGTAGCACTCATGTCTATTTCCCAAAGACAATCTCTGGATATGAAGCTGAGCATGTGCACTCAACTTCTCTGGTCGACCATGGCGAGGCCTGTTCTGAGTGGAACCTGTCCTGTTAAACTGCTCTGTGGTCTTGGCCACCGTGCTGTAGCTCAGTTTCAGGGTCTTGGCAATCTTATTATAGCCTAGGCCATCTTTATGTGGAGCAACAATTCTTTTCAGATCCTCGGAGTTCTTTGCCATGAGGTGCCATGTTGAATTTTGAATGACCAGAATGAGAGAGTGAGAGAGATAACACAAAATTTAACACACCTGCTGCCCATTCACACCTGAGACCTTGTAATACCGATGAGTCACATGACATTGGGGAGGGAAAATGGCTAATTGGGCCCAATTTTGACATTTTCACTTAGGGGTGAACTCACTTTTGTTGCTAGCAGTTTAGACATTAATGGCTGTGTGTTGAGTTATTTTGAGGGCACAGCTAATTTACACTGTTATACAAGCTGTACACTCACTACTTTACATTGTAGCAAAGTGTCATTTCTTCAGTATTGTCACATGAAAAGATGTAATAAAATATTTACAAAAATGTAAGGGGTGTACTCCCTTCGGTGAGATACTGTATATTTGGACACAGGCACAATTTTAGTTTTTTTCAAGTATTGACCAAGATATTTTCAAGCTATAGTTATATAATGGATATGGGCTGAACGTTCACACTCTCAGGTTTAATTTGAGGGTATGTACATCCAAATTGGAGGAAGGGTTTAGGAACTACAGCTCTTAAGAGTAGCCATCCCCCTTTTTCAAGGGACCAAATGTAAATTGGACAATTGAATCAAAAGCAGTTTCATTATTACATCGAGTTTATATAGCGCCAAAGGGTTTGCTCAGCGCTGTACAATAGGGGGGACAATACATGGCACAGTACAACAAAAACAGACAGCGTACGAGGGGTAAGAGGGCCCTACTCTTTCAAGCTTACAATCTAGTTTCATGGCCAGGTTTGGGCTACTCCATCATTTCTTCATCAGTTAAGCAGGTAAAAGGTCTGGAGTTGATTCTAAGTGTGGTATTTGCATTTGGAATCTATTGCTGTGAATCTACATCATGCATTCAAAGTAGCTGTCCATGCAAGTGAAACAGGTCAATGTAAGGCTTCAAAAATGAAACAAACCCATAAGAGAGATAGTAGCAACATTAGGAGTGGCCAAATAAACAGTTTGGTACATTTTGAGGAAAAAAGAATACACTGGTGAGCTCAGCAACATAAAAAGGCATGGATGTCCATGGAAGACAACAGTGGTGGATGATCGCAGGATCCTCTCTCTGGTAAAGAAAAACCCATTCACAACATCCAGACAAGTGAAGGACACTCTCCAGGAGGTGGGTGTATCATTGGCAAAGTCTACAATCAAGAGAAGACTTCATGAGAGCAAATACAGAGAGTTCACCACAAGGTGCAAACCATTCATAAGCCTGAAGAATAGAAAAGCCAGATTAGACTTTGCCAAAAAAAAAAAATCCAGACCAGTTCTGGAAAAGCATTCTTTGGACGGATGAAATTAAGATTAATCTGTACCAGATTGACAGGAAAAAAAGTGTGGAGAAGGCTTGAAACAGCTCATGATCCAAAGCACACAACGTCATCTGTAAAATATGGCAGAGGCAGTGTGATGGCATGGACTTATGGACCGAACTGTGGCACTGAGTCATTGGTGTTTATTGATGTGACAGAAGACAGAAGCAGCCGGATGAATTCTGCAGTGTTTACAGATATACTGTCAGCCCAGATTCAGCCAAATGCAGCAAAGTTGATTGGAGGGAGCTTCACAGTACAGATGGACAATGATCCAAAACACACTGCAAAAGAAACCCAGGAGCTTTTGAAGGAAAAGAAGTGGAATATTCTGCAATGGCCGAGTCAATCACCTGATCTCAACCTAATTGAGCATACAATTCAAACTAAAAAAGCATAAAGACCCACACAAACAAAGAACAACTGAAGACAGCTGCAGTTAGAGCCTGGCAAAGCATCAGAAAGGAGGAAACACAGTCTTTGGTAATGTCCATGGGTTCCAGACTTCAGGCAGTCATTGCCAGTAAAGGATTCTCAACAAAATATTAAAAATGAGCATTTAATTTATGATTATATTAATTTGTTCAACATATGAGCCCCTGAAAATGAAGGGACTGTGTATAAAAATGACTGTAGTTCCTAAAATTTGTACTTGATATTTATGTTCAACCCCTTGAATTAAAGCTGAAAGTCTGCACTTCAAATTCATTTGGATTGTTTTGTTTTCATTTATTCCGGTGGCATGCAGAGCCAAAAGTATGAAAATTGTACCTGTGACCAAATACATAGGGACCTAACTGTAGCTTGTAGACTGAACTGTCATGAATGGGTTACATTCTATAACTTTACACAAAGCAATCGATATACACTTATTGGGATTTTTTTTTACTAAAGACGTAGCACAACACATTTTGGCCTAAATTTTATGAAGAAATGTATTTATTTATTTATTTTAGGTACTTATATAGCGCCATCAATTTACATATATATTGTACATTCACATCAGTACCTAACCCTCAAGGGGTGTACAATCTAAAGTCCCTAACTTACATTCATACATACACATACTAGGGACAATTTAGACAGGATCCAATTAACCTACCAGCATGTCTTTGGAGTGTGGGAGGAAACCGGAGTAACCGGAGGAAACCCACGCAGGCACAGGAAGAACATGCAAACTCCAGACACGTGGTGCCATGGTTGAGATTCGATATTAGTTTTTATTAAATATATTTTCAGGGGCGGACTGACCATTTGGAAACTCGGGCACTGCCGTGGGCCCGGGGTCAGTGGGGGGCCCCATGAGATGCCCCTGGGTACCTTTTTCGTAGGCTTTTTTGAGTTTGGGCAAGGACACAGGGGCCCCATGATCCCCAATTGCTCGGGGGCCCCATGAGCTGTCAGTCCGCCCCTGTATATTTTATAACAGAAAGTAGAAAATATTGGGGTTTTTTTTTTTTTTGAAAGTTTCAGTCATGTTTCATTTATATTAACTAGTTGCCGACCGCAGATAACCGAATGACGGCTTCACTGCGGCCGGCCAGTTCTGGGTGGACGTCATATGACGTCCCCCCAGAACGCGCTCTCCTGCGCGCCCCAGGGGGCGCGCACACCCGGCGATCTCCGTAATCGCTGTGTCCTACGGACACAGCTGATCACGAGATGTGGTAAAAGGCCGATCATACCGGCCTTTTACCACGTGATCAGCGGTGTCCAATGACACGCTGTTCACAGGGAAATGCAAGTGCCGGTTCTCGGCTGCACTTTCCTCACACTATCAGATCGTGAGGAAAGTACTGCCGAGAACCGGCAGTTGTCAGAGCGAGGATCGGCACCGATCATCAGGGCCACTGATGATCAGTGCCCTGATGATCGGTGCCCAGCAGTGCCACCCACAAGTTCCGCCCACCTGTGCCCAGCAGTGCGCCCACTAGCTCCGCCCACCTGTGCCCAGCAGTGCACCCACCTGTGCCCAGCAGTGCACCCACCTGTGCCACTCTGCAGTGTCACACACCTGTGCCCAGAAGTGCCACCTACCTGTGCCCAGCAGTGCCACCCACCTGTACCCACCAGTGCCACCCACCTGTGCCCACCCACCAGTGCTGCCCACCAGTGCCACCCACCAGTGCAGCCCAGCAGTGCTGCCAGTCAGTGCCACCAGTCAGTGCCCAGCGGTTGTGCCAGTCAGTGCCGCCAGTCAGTGCCCAGCAGTGATGCCAGTCAGTGCCATCTATCAGTACCCATCATCAGTGTCACCTATCAGTGCCGCCTATCAGTGCTGCATATTAGTGCCGCCTATCCGTGACACCTCATTAGTACTGCCTATCAGTGCGCCTATCCGTGCCACCTCATTAGTACTGCCTATCAGTGCCCTTTAGTGCTGCCTATCAGTGCCCATCAGTGCCGCCTATCAGTGCCCATCAGTGCTGCCTCATCAACGCACATCAGTGAAGGAGAAAAAATACCTGTTTGAAAAATTTTATAATAGAAACAAAGAAACTTTTTTTTTTTTTCAAATTTTTTTGCACTTTTTTAATTTATAGCGCAAAAAGTAAAGCGCCCAGTGGCGATTAAATACCACCAAAAGAAAGCTCTATTTGTGAGAAAAAAATGATCAAAATTTCATATGGGTACAATGTTGCATGACCGCGCAATTGTCAATCAAAGTGCGGCAGCTCTGAAAGCTGAAAATTGGCCTGGTAAATAAGGGGGTATAAGTGCCTGGTAGGCAAGTGGTTAAAAATACAAAACCCAGCGGTGATCAAATACTGCCAAAAGCTCTATTTGTGTGTGAAAAAAATGGTATAGATTTCATTTGGGTACAGTGTTTCATGGCTGCCCAATCGCCAGTTTTTTTTTAAGTTTTAGTGCTGAATAGCAAAAAAATGGCCTGGTCATAAACGGGGTAAAAAACCTTCTGGGGGTCAAGTGGTTACATTAGCCAAGCACATCACTTCATGTACACTCCAAGCTTTCTGCCTTAACAGATGGCTAATGTAGTAAAACATTTTGCTTCTACTGGATAAATAAAAACAAGGTAGATAGGTGAGGTGGTACTTGAGATATACTGACCCTTCAAGGTAATTGGTAATTATGTGCTGTAATTACAGGGTACATACAATCTGGATATGTATTCCATTAGTAGAAGTCAACTTGCCCTTTTCTAAAATGGCCACATATTGCATACGGCGCCTACGTGATGACACTACGAAATCTGGCGCTCATCTCGCGAGATGTAGACAGGTGTCCGGTTGCTAAGGCCGCCTGGTTACCGGGCCTTAGGCTGGGAGGCCGGCTTCCGAACGATACAGTGTACACACCTCCCTCCAACCCCTCCCCGGGGAGAGCTGCCTGACTGAGCGCGGTGACGTGTCCTTCACCCGGGGAAGAGAGGACAGCCCCGGGGAGATCGGACAGGTACAGGACATGGAGGGCGAGGGACGGGGGCTGACTGGAGCTTTCATCTACACAGAGGGGATGTATAGTGTGTGTTCCTTCTATATGAGCTGTCATCTCCAGTGTGTGTGACTTCCTCTTCCTGTCAGATCCCGTTCTACATGTACATCATATGTGTGTTCCACCCTGGGTGCCTTCCGGGGGGGTTACTGATATCACCATCATCCAGCTCACACCGAACTATATCTGATCACCCTGCCCCTCCTTCAGCTGTGCTCCCCTCTGTAGTATGTGCCCGGCTCCTCTCTGTACTTCGCCCTGTGTCACAAATCTCATACATTACTGGGATCGTTGTCTTCCTTTCTCTTCCTTCCTCTTCTTCTTCATGCCCGGCTCCTCTCTGTACCTCACCCCGTGTTATACATGTCTTAGATTACAGTTATCATCATCTTCCTCCCTATGTCCTCTCTTTCCTCTGTTTCTTCCTCTTTCCTCTCTCTCTCTGCTGTCCTCCTTCCACCATCTTCCTTCTCCTCTCTTCTTCATAATGCCCATCATCTCTCTGTACCTCACCCCGTGTTATACATGTCATAGATTACTGTTATAATTATCTTTCCTCTCCTTCCTCTCTCCCTTCCTCTTCCCCCCTCCCCCCCTGCGATTTGGTTGGTATTTTGAGACTAGGTTAGTGATGTAGCTGGGGGGCGAGTTGTGGATGGCTTTGTAAGTTGTTAGTATTGAAAGTTGTTGTTTGTATTGAACTTTAATGGCATCCCAGTCATAGTCCATAGGGTTCAATATTGAGTTGGCCCACCCTTTGCAGCTATAACAGCTTCACCTCTTCTGGGAAGGCTGTCCACAAGGTTTAGGAGGGTGTCTATGGGAATGTTTGACCATTCTTCTAGAAGTGCATTTGTGAGGTCAGGCATTGATGTCAGACGACAAGGCCTGGCTGGCAGTTTCTGCACTAATTCATCCCAAAGGTGTTCTATCAGGTTGAGGTCAGGACTCTGTACAGGCCAGTCAAGTTCCTTCACCCCAAACTTGCTCTTCCTTGTCTTTATGGACCTTGCTTTGTGCACTGGTGCGCAGTCATGTTGGAACAGGAAGGGGCCATCTCCAAACTGTTCCCACAAAGTTGAGAGCATGAAATTGTCCAAAATGTTTTGGCATGCTGACGCCTTAAGAATTCCATTCACTGGAACTAGGGGGCCAAGCCCAACCCCTGAAAAACAACCCCACACCATAATCCCCCCTCCACCAAACTTTACACTTGGCACAATGCAGTCAGGCAAGTACCGTTCTGGGAACTGCCAGACCCAGACATGACCATCGGATTGCCAGACATGGCTGTAACATGGCTGTAACAGAACCGACCCAGACTGCGCTTGACTACTGTTTAGAATACCACTTCCCCGTCTGAACACTGACAACAGACACCACATCCGACCATACAAGACTAGATGACACCAGTCTGTCTGAACATGGAACTCTTTATTTTAAACTCAGCTTTTTATACAATACACACTGAGACTGATCACATGATCATATGCAGCTATATACAGAAATAGACTTAACACTCTAAACAGTAAGTTAATTAGGTTAGCTAGCTAGGTGATCAAAACAAAAGGTGAATGGGAATTCACACCTAGACAATGGTTTGATGAATTAGCATCTCCCTACAGAGCAGATGGTCTGGCTCCTACACTGGAGTAGAGGAGAGGCCAGGGTTATCAGCTCTTTCAATTCACGTCTAGTTCAGAATCAACAACCAGGAATAGTCTTCATATAGCTGATAAATATTACTGTCCCATCTGAAGTAATTCCAACCGCATTCTCCGTGTCCATTAGTCACCCTGTGCCCCTAAGAGACACAGGGTGACTTGCAAATTATTTATTTATTTCAGGTACTTATATAGAGCCGTCAATTTATTCAGCGCTTAACATATATATTGTACATTCACATCAGTCCCTAACCCTCAAGGGGTGTACAATCTAAGGTCCCTAACTCACATTCATACATACACATACTAGGGACATTTTCAACAGGATCCAATTCACCTACCAGCATGTCTTTGGAGTGTGGGAGGAAACCGGAGTACCCGGAGGAAACCCACGCAGGCACAGGGAGAACATTAAAACTCCAGGCAGGAGGTGCCGTAGCCGGGATTCGAACCAACGACCCAAGTACTGCACATAAGAGGGATATGGGGAGCTGAGACAGGGGTCTCCCAACCTCTGCAAAGTAAACAGGGTTCCATGAGCTCCCCACCCAAAGTGACTCCTGTCACATTGGCCCTTGGATTGCCAGACAGAGAAGCATAATTCACCACTCCAGAGATTATTATTATACAGTATTTATATAGCGCCAACAGTTTGCTCAGTGCTGTACATTATAATGGGAGACAGTACACGAGACAGCACAGTAACAAAACAATAATACACGAGGGGTTCGAGGGCCCTGCTCTTTGGAGTTTACAATCTAGTAATCACGTCTCCACTTCTCTAGAGTCCAGTGGCGGTGGGCTTTACACCACTGCATCCAACGCTTTGCATTGTACTTGGTGATGAAAGGCTTTGGATGTAGCTTCTTGGCCATGAAAACCCATTCCATGAAGCTCTCTACGCACTATTGTTGTGCTAATCTAAAGGTCACACAAAGTTTGGAAGTCTTTAACTACAGCGGTCTGCAAAAAAAATTTTTTCAAGAACTGTTTTGGTTATTCCACGTAATCTTTATGTTTTTTGGTGCGCTGAATCCAAAAATGACCTCCATTTTGTCATAGGACATCACGTTTCCTGACAAATGTTAAATAAGGCAATACCTCAAAAATAAATGGGAAATAGACTTATAAAATTAAAGTTTTATTACAATTTTTTCATGAAAATCCTTTTTTTGAACTGAAATGAGCTCACCTACACACACACTAAACTCGATTCTTCTTCCCTGTGAGGCTCCTCTTAATGCATTTACGCTTGTGAGTAGCATCTGGAATGTCTCTCTGAAGCATCCAACAGTAGTCTGCCATCATTGTAATGCTCCATTTTCCCTGGTATCTCCTTTCCATCTCTTTAATGTCTTGGTGGAATCGTTCACCTTGTTCCTCACTCACAGCTCCCAAATTTTCAGGAAAGTAGTCAAGGTGGGACTGGAGGAAATGCACTTTCAGACTCATCAGGCAACCTAAAGCTTGAAATGTTTTCACCATTCGTCCAACGATCTTTTTGTAGTGAGGATCTTTGTTATTGCCGAAAAATTTCTGTACGACTTCTTTAAATGCAATCCACCCTTATTTTTGAGGATCCGTCATGGTATTGACAAACTCCTGATCAACTATAAGCCTTCTAATGTCTGGTCCGACGAACACACCTTCCTTCAATTTTGCCTCCGACAGGCCTGGAAACTTGGTGACCAAGTATTTGAAGCATTCTCCATCTCTTGGAAGTGATTTTACGAATTGCTTCATCAATCCCAATTTTATGTAGAGAGGTGGTAGAAGAACTTTATGGGGAGGTACCAAAGTTTCTTGGAGGACATTTTTTTCACCGACTGTTAGCACCCTCGACTGCCAACTCTTCTTGGTCCAGTGATTTTGTGGTCTCGACTGTCCCATAGACACAGAAAACAAGGGTATTTGGTATCCCACCCACTGGATTCTTCAGGAAAGATTAACCCCTTCTACCATTAGAAGCACA